GCCGGGGCGCTCCCAGCAGCGCGCGATGCAGGCGCGGCAGAAGCTGTGGCCGCACTCGACAGACACAGGCTCTCGGAAGAGCTCCAGGCAGATGGAGCACGTCGCCTCGCCCTGCAGCTCTGCCGCCAGTGCCAGCGCCTCGGCCCCGGCGCCTGGGCCGGTTCGCGGCCCCATCACCGCCATGCGCCCCCTCGGCGCTAGCAAGTCTGGCGGTGCGGGGGAGGCCACGGGACCCGACAGTAGGCGGCTCCGAGCGCCGGCGGAGAGAGGAAGGGCGGGGCTGACGCCGGGCTGGCGGAGACCTGAGCTGACGCTCGCCGGCTGCAAAAGCGGAGGAGAGGGCGCGCGTGGACGGCGGGCTGGGCGGCACAGCGCGAGGGGCTGCACGTGCGGGCCAGCGCCCTGCGCCCCTCGCTGGGCCCCTCAATCCTCGGCCTTGGCCTTCGTGGTCCCGCGGCGCCCTATCTCCGTCGTACCCGTCGCTCAACCCCGCCGCGAGCCTATACAGGCTCGACCCAGTCAGTCCTGGGAAACAGGCCGGGACAGGTGGGCGCACAGGCCCAGCTGGGCGCCGCTCCCTCTTGCAGCCCGAGGCCGACTCAGCACGCCCAGGCCGCAGTGTCAGGTTCCCGGAGTGCGGGTTCGTCCCGGCCCTGTGCTGAGCTAAATTTAGTGTCTGGAACCTGGCTCCTGCCCCACCCCCACCCCCTAGCGTGACCTTGTATCCAATTCTGTAGCTACCTTTCCCGCGATTGTCCTCCTCTTTGTTTATTCTTTAACTTTTGTTTTTGAACGAGTGATACATTTACAATAAAATTTCCCGCTGTACTCGGTGTTATTCCACCCCCCCCCAAAAAAGCCCCAATCTTCTACTGTCCCTCCGGTTCATCTCCACAGCCCCACTCCAGAGCTGCCAGTATTGTTTACTTCCACCCCCGCTCTCTTCATTCCCTCCGGAGGCCACTTCGGTTCGGCTTCCACCCCCAGCCTCCTCAGGAACCGCTCCTGTCAAGGTCACCAGTGACCTCAGCTATCCTAACCCAAAAGCAAAGGCCCCTTCTCAGGCCCTACCTCACCTGCCCTCTCCTCTGATGCTTCCTGCTTCCTGACACCCTTTCTCAGGGCTTTCCAGGCTCTCCTCCCACCGCCATGGCCTCCTACCTCCTTCTGGGGCCTCCGTTATAGTTTCCTCCTCTTCTCTCTACCCCTGTTCAGTCTTTGGACCTCTGCCTATACTCACTCTCTTGTGATCTTTTCCATTTTCTCGGCGTGAAAGACCTTCTCCCTGCTGACGCCACAATACATATCCCCAACCCAGGTCCCCTAGGATGCCTGGCTCCCACATCCAAATCCCGCGCAGCATCTCCACCTGCGTGTTCTAAGGGCGTCACCAGCTCACGGTGCCGACGACTGTACTTCCGATCGGCCCTTCCATCTGCTCCTCCCACAGCCTTCTCCACCCCCACCCCATTTAACAGCAACTCCATCCCTCCAGGTACTCAGGCCAAAACTAGGGAGTTCCTCTGTGACTCCAAAACGAAAATATTGCTCACACCCCACCGCCAGTCCTCAGCATCTCCTCACTCTCTCGCCTCCTCCACTGCATCATCTCCAATGACCCGATGATCCAGACAGTTCTCTCCCCTTCTGTCCCCGTCCTCTGCCCTATCTTCTCTACCAAGAACAATCCTGTTAAAATGTTGTCAGATCATGGCCCTCCTCTGCTCAAGACCCTCCAGTGGCTCCCATCTCTCTCCGAGTAAAAATCGAAGTCTTTACAATCGTCTAAAGGCCCTACCCATTCTTGGTCCCCATCCCCTGCACCCTGCCTCTCTACCCACATCTCCTGTCACTCTCCCCTGTTGATCCCTCTCCTACCACATGGACCTCCTTGATACTCCTGCAACATGTCAGAGATCCTACCTTAGGTCCTTGGAACTGGCTGTTCCCGTTATTTGGACCTCTGTTTTCCCAGATACCTGCATGGCTCACTTCGGGCCTCCTTCACGTCTTGTTTCCAATGTCCCCTTTCTCAGTGAAGCCTGCCCCGACCACACTGTTTAAAATCACACCTTACCACGCTCTCCCTCAACGCTGGCTCCATTTTTTTTAGAGCATTCTACTTCCTCTGGAATGCAAGCTGTTAGCGGAGAGGCACTGTCAGTTTTGTTCACAGCTGGATCCCCAGTTTTCTAAAGCAGTTCTTGGTACATAGTAGGCGCTCGATCAACTTTTCTTGGATTGAATTGATTTAAACGTGGTTCAAAAATCAGTTTTACAGAGTAGTTCACAGTGAAAAGTCTACCCATCGCGTACGCCCCAGTCCCTTCCCAATCCCAAGCAATCAACTTTGCAATTCTGAATTATTTTATACAAATAGTATATATTTTACTACATTCCCCCCTCTTTTCGTTTAACAAACGTAGCATCCTGCACACAGTCTTCCTTACTTTCCGTTTTCAGCTCACAGTTCATTTTGGGCATCGTGCCCAATGACTTCCCCTTCTTTTTCCACCGCTGCCTCCAGGTGTTTCTCCCGGCTCTATCTTCCCCCCGGGCGTCCCTCAGTCGAGGTCCGCTCTCATGGAACCAGTAAAGGACCCTGGAACAGCTTGCCAGGCTGCCCACCAGGCTTTACAGCCTCCGGGTTGCCGTGTCTGGCGGATGACAGCTGCCCACTCACGCCCTGTTGGAGCAAATGGGTAAGAATGCATACGGAGAAAAGGCGAGGGAATGGGGATGTAGCTCAGTGGTAGAGCGCATGCTTTGCATGTATGAGGCCCCGGGTTCGATCCCCGGCATCTCCAGCGCAAGTGTCGTCCCTTGTTCTTTATTTTTTTCCTCTCCGAAGTTTCGAAACAGCGTTTTTGCAGAGCCCCGGGAAACACCCCAGACCCTGGAGTTTGCGCAGGTTGGAGGGGTCGGCGGGCCCCCTTCACTCCAAGCCCCTATCGCTGCCTCTAAACTCCGGATTAAAAATCAAGGGTGAGGCGCCCGTGGCATCAGGATGTGCATGTTTTCCCTCCTCAGCACCAGGTTCCCGGGAATGCAAAAAGGCCAGGTTTGCTGGCAGAGCAGAGCAAGCAGAAGATGGAGAGGAGTGGGAGGGATTGTCAGGTACCAGCGGCAGAATTTGTATTTTCTGGGCTGCTAAAAGCCCTTCAGTGGCCTGATCATATACCTAGCAAATCCCAGGTCAGACGTCGAGCTGGATACAGCCGGAATCCTATCTTGAACTAAGGGTTGTTGAAAGGCCCACCTCCTCGTTGATGCCCGGCTAGCTCAGTCGGTAGAGCATGAGACTCTTAATCTCAGGGTCGTGGGTTCGAGCCCCACGTTGGGCGAGCGTTCTGTTTTTGTCCCTAGAACAACTAGGATAGGCCACATGAAACTAGAATTGGCCACATGAAACAATGCATTGCTTCACCCGCTTTTGGAAAAATAAAGAAATGCTATAATGGAAATTTCCTGCGTACAATACATGTTCATTTGAGCTTTTTGTGGCTACCTGATCATTCATTGATTAATCTATCCTTTATCTGCTAACAAAATGAGTTTTTCTTAGTTGTGTAAGATATGCATAATAAAATTTACCATTTGAACCATTTTTAAGTGTACAGTTCTGTGGCTTTAAACACATTCACATGGTTGTGCAGGCATAACCACAATCCATCTCCAGAACTTTTTTATCTTTCCCAACTGAAACTCTGTACCCAGTAAACATTAACTCCCCTTTCCCTCTTTGCCCCAGGCCCTGGCAACAACCCTTCTACCTCTGTCTCAATGAATTTGACTACTCTAGGCGCTTCATATAAGACTAATCACACAGTATTCGTCCTTGTGTCACTGGCATATTTCACTTAGCATAACATCTTCAAGGTTCATCTATCTTGCAGCATGGGTCAAAATTTCCTTCCTTTTAAGGCTGAATCATATTCCATTGTGTGTATATATGCATTTTGTTTATCCATCATCCATCAATAGACACTTGGGTTCCTTCCACCTCGTGGCTATTGTGAATAATGCTGCTATGAACATGGGTGTGCAAATATCTGTCAAGTTCCTGCTTTCAGTTCTTTTGGGTATATAGCCAGAAGTGAAATTGCTGAGCATATGATAGCTCTATGTTTAATTTTTTGAAGAATCGTCATACCACTTTCCACAGAGTTTGCACCACAAAACAAATTTTTAAAATATCTTTTGAGTAAATAATACACTATACTGTTCAAAAATTGGATCATTTTTCAGTGAAAATTGAATCAGTGAAAAACATCTAACTTTCATTCTCTCTCCTTAGGTAACAGCTTTCGTGTCTGCATACATATTCTTTTGATGCAAATATATTTTTATTTTCCTCTATTTTACACAAAAAGATAATTACAGCTCTGTTATATTTTGAAGATCTTTCCACCTCCAGACAGAAAATTTCCTCAATCTTTTTTTGCAGCTGTATAATATTCCACTGTAGATGAATCACAGTTTAACACATCACCTACTGATGGATATTTATACTGTTTCCAGTCTCTTGTTATTACAATCAATGCTGCAGTTACTAAGCATGTAGTTAAGGCAAATCGTCAGCTGTGGATCCTACAGGCTCTTTCCTCCCACCC